AAGAAGAAGAAGAAGAAGAAGAAGAAGAAGAAGAAGAAGAAGAAGAAAACAGATGATACGCAGCATAAAATGAATCCACATAAAAAAATTGAAAGGGCTCAGCCACTAGTGTTTAGAAGAATAGCTGCATTTTCAGCATCTTTTGGAACATAAGCAGGATGTGAGCCATACAGATCTGTAAGGCAATGCTGTTCCAGAGTGTGGGCACTGTGACAGAGAAGGCATCCCTTTAAGGCTCCATTAGGTGACATTGCTTAATGGAGAGAATCCAAAGTGTTCCCACTCTGGAGAATCTTACCAGACAGGGAAAAAGACAGGCAGTTCCCCAGGTAACCAGACCCTATACAAATACCCAAACTCTTTACCTATATCCTTTATAGGTTATAACAAGCAGTGTCTTGGATTGTATCTGCAAGCCTATATTACTCATAGAGCACTGGTGTCAATTGACATACTGTGGCATGCTCATTATTGCCTGCCTCAGTGCATTCTGGACCAGTCATAGTCTTAGGGTTAGATCATGGGTGTCAAACTTGTGGCATCACGTTGCCGTCACATGATGTTTTGCGATGTTTTTCCCTTTGCGAAACTGGGGTGGACATGGCCTGCATGTGACGCATTCAGCCTGTAGGCCACCAGCTTGACACCTCTGTGTTAAATGATAGAAGCAAATAATACTCAAATGGTGCATCTGATTAGTTTTTGTTATTATTAGGGCTAGATAAGGCCAAGAAAGTTAATAAGAAACAAGCCAAAGGTACTTAATTGTGTAACAAATGGAGTCATAATTTTGCTATTTTATTTCCTTCTAAAAATAACTTAGTTTTGAACAATTAACATGTGTTACTTGAATTAATTAATTCTGTTTTTTATGAAGAAAAAAATCTAACATCCATCTAAGTAACTTGTAATGTGCAATTGTACACATGTTTATAAAATTGATTTATTTTATTTTATTGGGTATATAGATGAACTAATATTCAGGTTTATAAAATGATTTATCTGATCTCTTGGGAAGTTTAAAATTATTAAATTCCAGAAGAGCAACCATATTGATCGGTTGCAACAAAAGTCATCCTCCTAGTTTCATATACAGACAGAACTTTACAGTAATGGAAAGTATAAGTAAAGATGCTTGCTTGAATGATGAAATTAAATTGTAGAGGAAAAAAAGTGTATGCAAAGCCTGATTACTGCAAAAAATGAGGATAATGTGCATTAAAATATATGTACAATTATGATAGAAATAAAATGTTTGGAAAGCAGAGCCAAAGGGCTAATAAACACATAACCTCCACTGTAGTAACTGGAATTAAAAAAGAAATGGTGAAATGGAATATTGGAGGGAAAGTTTTAGAAATTTGTAGGGAGTAAGATAAAAATGTATGATGTTACTTTAATACATTTAAGGATAGTGGTAAAAAGAACCCATGTGGTAATATAGAAGCTGTTTAATTGGTAGAGACTTAAATATGTGTATACTTTTGTATGCAGATAAAGCTATATTTAGGGTGAGAACCATCTGCAGTAGACATTACATCATACACTTTTCCTAACAAGGAGTAGGAACATAAAATTAGTATATGAAAGACAAAGGTTGTTGTGCTCAACAGGAAGAATGATGTAAACAGTAGTAATTTATATATAAATTGCTGTGTATATCTTGGTCAGATGTTTCCTAAAGATGGGAAAATGAGTGAGAAATTTTAAGACATGCAAATGCTTGCTGAAAGGTAATGAAAAGTATGTGGTCTGTTGAGAGAAACAAATATTTGTCAGAAGAAGGAAAATTATGATCGTGCATTAGTGTCCTTCTGTCAACTTTGTTAAATAAAAGTGAGAGTTGATCACGTCAATTAGTTGTGTTGGTTATTCAACTTAAAAGTAAGTTAAATGCACTGAAAAATAATTTAAGAATAAGCCCAAACAAGAGGAGTTGGGTGAAGAACGGATGATGAATGAATGCAGGTTGAGTGCAAAATTAAATTATTACAGTGAAATATATACATTGAGGCAGATTGTTCATACAGAAAAAAAATGAAGATCAAACTGCAAAAAACAACAATGTAAAAGGAATGTGAATGGATTTTAGAGGAAGAGAAGACTAAAAAGTTAATGAGATCTTTAAAATAGAGGGGTAACAAGTTTGAACACAAAAGACGATATTTGAGGCAGTTTATGGACATGGTAGAAATGAAGATAAAAAGGTATGAAGAGGCATTGTGAATAACTGTGAATAAACATGTTACTATAAATTATGTATGGCTATTTTTTTCCTTCATGCCTTTAATTTTTTTTATTACTTCTGACTGCTTTCCTGAATTTAATATAATACAAGTAGTCTTTGACTTACAACCGCAATTGAGCCCAATTTTTTTGTTGCTAAGTGAGAGATTTGTTAAGTGAGTTTTGACCCATTTTATGACCTTTCTTGACATAGTTGTTGAGTGAACAACTGCAGTTGTAAAGTTAGTAACACGCTTGTTAAGTGAATCTGGCTTCCCCATTGACTTTGCTTGTCAAAAGATTACAAAAGGTGATCACATGACCCTGGGACACTTCAATCGTCATAAATACATGTCACTTGCTCAGCATCTGAATTTTGATCACGTGGCCATGGGGTTGCTGCAGTGGTCATAAGTGTGAAAAACAGTCAGATGTCACTTTTTTCAGTGCTGTTGTAATTTTGAACAGTCACTAAATGAACTGTTGTAAATCGAGGACTACCTGTATAGCTTATCTTGAACAATAGCATGATGGGAATATATGTACTAAAAGATCAGCACATTTATTCTGATTTTAAGTATTTTGTGATTCATAATAATTAAATTTCTTTAAGGCTCTTCTGATTGTTGAAAAAAGTACTGACTTTTCTTCCAGCAAGTTAAAGGAGTGGTATTTACCAAAAACAATAAAATATGCATATTGTACATGCACATGCACATTCATAGATACACTACAATGCAGCAGGAAGGAGAGCTGGGTATTAGATTTGACAGCCAAGTCAGATCCTCCTGTTTAGAACAATGTATCTTTGATTATCCATGCAAGAGATAGGCAAGAATGATAGCCATAATATTCTGCTTGTGAACTTAAAATTGATTATATAGTCAGCAAATATTGGAAGAAGAGTGCAAGTCTACTTGGATTTATGACCCAATCCAGAAAGATACGGTAATTCTTATTATAGGAAGATGAAGAATGCAGTTAAATATATCACAACTATATCACATTGTGTTTATTTATAAATATATACGCTAAAAATTCTCTTTTTCCTTAAAATCTTCCCAGGTGTTGCTGCATTGGATTCCAGTATTTCTGGAAAGATTGGCCTGCGAGCAGTTGTGTACTACTTCTTCACTACTGCCTTAGCTGTAATTTTAGGTAATAAGTAGTTCAACCCTTGAGTAATTAAATCCTTACATTTGAAATGTAGTGGAAGATTTTTAATAAGTTAGCAAACTAACAAGAAATAGTCAATTTTTATCTAACTTCGATTTACAAAGAGGTACAAACTTGGATATTATCCATCTTAGAGTGTCATGATAAACAGTAAGAGATTGCACCTCTTGTCCAGGTTATAGTTTCCATGTGCCATTTCGCAAGGATACAGATTTCTTTTTACTATCAAAATTAATATTTAACCATGTGATTGAATAGGAACAACAACTAGCTTTGCTTCCTGAAAGAGATTTTTATCAAGTTGTAGTGTTACAGATATGGGACAGTTAGTCGAATGATTAAGTAACTTGTACATATATTACAGCAGAACTGGGATGCTTCTAAATGGAAGACTTCTAATGTTATAAATCAAAATCAATCCCCTTTCTGATTAAAGAAGAAGCAAAAGTGGGGGAAGTTATGAGGATTACTAATTGAAATAAATTACAGCTTGCTATAGGTTCTGTGAAAAAAGCAGCATGGTTGCACAATAAAAGCTTAGCAGAAAGCAACATAGCTATTTTCTAATGGTTTTACCATCGTCAGAGGGGAAGCCCTAGTTCCAAAGATGTATTCCAAGGGCATTGAAAATATTAAGGATAGTTGAAACCTCTTTCACCCCCACCCCTGTCTGCTGTAAATAACCACAGTGTTTAGCAAAATAACTTAGGTTTGTCTGCAACTCTGACTTAGTAGTGTTCCGATACTCTAAGATAAAGCATTTGTTATATGTCAGAAAATAATAAACTACATGTTTGGAAGAACCAAGGCCTGAATTTACAGCAAGCATAATTCTCATCTTTCATTTATATATATCTACGCTGCTATCTTTTAAAAAATGTTTTCTGCAAGTTTTCAACTTTTCAGGCTGTGTTCTCTCGGCCCTTCCCTCTTTACCCCAACTCCAATTATAGGGATTGTATTGGTTGTGACTATCAAACCAGGAGTATCTCAGAAAGCTGATGAAATTGACAGGATGGGGAGCACTCCGGAAGTGTCTACAGTGGATGCCATGTTAGACTTAATTAGGTGAGTCATTAAAACAATGGATTACATTCACAATTTTAAAAATTGAATAATGCGAACACCTCTCTCTAAATATTCTCCTGAGAAGTGAGGACCCTACTGAATTGTGCTGAGGCATGGATTCATAGGGAGAAAATTAGAATCTCTGAGTAATTGATAGTACCTTGGAGAAATTTTCAGGAGTGACCTTTCCCATTCCAGAATATATAGCCCATTTTGCAATTTTCCTTTACCCCCTATATTTTCAGAAAGTTTTTTGAGAATGTTTCTTCATAAAATAAAATAAATCAGGCAAATCAGTTTTGCTCTGAATTCATTCCTCATTTATTTATTAAAAATGCAGAATAAATGACTTTCTCCCAGTCTCCACAGTTTTTAAAGAAGTATAGAATTGTAGAAAAGATGCAACAGTTGCAAAAGTTCAGGTTCAGAAGGCAATATATTTCTGCTTTCTTTGTGTCTGCTTTTTTTCTTTTATTTCATGGAATAATTCCTCTCTTACTTGCTGGAATTTGCTTTTTGTGTAACACAAACAACAAAGTGCTGTAAACTGACATTTTAGCGAAATGCAATATATTTGAGAGAAAGAAAGTACAGGACAGAGGAAAGTCCCTGGTAGTTAAGGGTTCGTATCTTGAACAGTTAAATAACTAAACCAACTCTTTCTAAAACTTAAGGAATAATTAGGATATACATACGGTCAAAGATTTGGAGTAAGAGAAAAAGACTTATTGCATCATGGTCCTTGAATATGTTTTCAACAATTAGATATTATCTCTTTTAATCCTTTTACAGAAATATGTTTCCAGAAAATCTAGTACAGGCTTGCTTCCAACAGGTATGTTCTATTTTTCTTTTATTTATTAACAGAAGTTCTGTGAAATTTTGGCATCTTCTTATGTAATGGTTGGGCTGTATATTATTACCTATTATTTTAGATCCTGATCCAGAAGAAATAACTTTATTTTTAGACAAGTAGACTTTGTGTGCAAAAATCAAATGAAATTATGTAATGATGAAATGTGAAAATTTATAATTAAGAATCCATTTCCTTTTCCGATAATCATTTGGAGATAAACATTAGTTGGCAGTCAGTCAACATCTATATGATTTCTTCTGGACTTTGTACCTTTTGTATCTTAAAAACAAATCCCTCCACCTTTAACTTTTCTTTCTTAATATTAGAAAATGTATCTCAATCCTAGTTTTAAGCAAAAACCATTCATCAGTTGATAGTTAGACAGATACTCATGTTATCCATTTTTTATGGATCCCTGTCTACTCTCTATACTCAGATTCTTAGGTTTTTCATGTGTAACAAGCTTTGTATTCTCACATTTAAAAAAATAAGAGAAAAAGGAACAGCAAAAAATAAAATAGATATGGTACTGATGGTGTCTTAGAATCAGTAGTAGTATATGTAAACCCTTGCCTATTAACAAAGTTTTATAAGAGCTTTAAAAATAAACATTTCCTTCATCATTCTCCACTAACACAACACATGTATTTTTACCTTCCAGTATAAGACCAAACGTGAAGAAATAAAAATTACAAGCACAGATAAAAATGGAACCTTTCCTACAGATGAACCAATCACAGCTATAATGCCAACTGAGAGTTCACAGGTAAAGAGAAGGCAACTGTGTCATTCGGTTGTGGCACAACAGGAAGACTCCTGTATCCTTAATTGCTATTAGTATTTAAGATGTTATTACATGATTAGTTGCTATTGTGTATTGTACAACATTCACACTACTGAAATAATACTGAAATAATTTGTATAGTGAAATTCAGGTTGTTAAAATAATGGCTAATAACAAGAAGCTGGAGATAGGAGTTTCTGTAGGCGGGGGACAATATCTGCCTGATAATAGGCCCAGTGTCATGATCAAAGCTCCCCCACTTTTAATGAGCTGCCCTGGTTGGTAGCAAAGTTAACCCCTTTAAGATCAAGCTACAGATCCCCTATGATGCTATATAGTCAAAAAAATAATATACAAGCAAACCCCTAGCAAGGTTAAACTGCTCCCAGACAAGAGTTTAATTGTTTAATCTTCATCTTTGCAAAATATGTTATTGCTAGTTGAACATTTCTGTCTTCCCTTCTCAACCTACAGAACAAAACTAAAGAATACAAAATAGTGGGCATGTATTCGGATGGTATTAATGTGCTTGGATTGATAGTCTTTTGTCTTGTCTTTGGAATTGTTATTGGGAAAATGGGAGAAAAAGGACAAGTGCTGGTGGATTTTTTCAATGCCCTGAACGATGCCACAATGTATATAGTTCAGATTATTATGTGGTAAGTGGGAGAGTGTCTTTTCATTAATTCCTTTTACTACTTGGTTGCACATTTCATCCAAGAGCAGGAAAAGACTTCAAAAAGCCTGCCACCCTTTGAGAAGATATGGCTGCTTTGCTCATGCATTTTGCAAACCTCACCTTTGAATGCTTTGCACTGGGTAGCTACATATGGGACCGATGTGTATATGTATCTAAATAATTTAAAATAACATAAGGATCCATATAATAAAAATAAAGTATCTACCTGGAAGTTTGAATAGCTTGATCAAACAAAGTATCATTTTGAGAAGTTGCTTCTTATGCTAAGTTGAATTAATTAACATAGTCGGCAAATAATAGAAGTAATTAGTATTTCACTAAAACTTATGTTCCAAATTATGAATTGAATGCAGGTTTGATCCTGCTTAGAATAGATGCATGGAAATTAATGAGATAAATTACTCATCAGTAGCCATAGTTGGATGATTTCCATAGATAAAGCAAATTTGGATTTAAGATTATAACTTAGTGGATTCATTTATCTAAGGGACATATCCTATTTTTTGTGGAAAATGGTACCATTCTTATTTAATAAGTTGAAGTTGAATAAATACAAACCAAATAATTCACAATCAGAATCAATTGTTTTGATAGCTTCTGAAATATTGGTTGTGGATTATCCTATAAGATTTTTACTTAATTATAATATATTAATGGTAATACTGTTTTTTAAACGAATAGTTAAATAGATTTATATTAGGAATGCCAACATTGAATAATTGGTTCTACTCAAAGGATTAGTATAACCATTATCCAATGACCCTCCTAATCTTTTGAATGTTTTAGAAATATTACTTTTTGTTCATCAAAGTTTCCACTCAAACCTCTGGAAGAAAGCTGCCAGCAATTATCTTACCATGTGGTGAGGATCTTTGGGGGGAAATCTTCAGCTAAATTATCTAAAGAAACCCAGTATATTTAGACACCCAGAACTGTCCATTTAGTTTTTCCATCCTTTACAATAGATGTAAGAAAAGTTAGATCAATATCCTGTCTGTGAAATAATATTACATTCCTCTGCCCTGTGTATACTTGATATATAGAGAGAATTGTGTTGCAAATTATCTTGGCATAAATTGCAATGTTTCTTTGTACATTCTAGGTATATGCCTCTAGGTATTTTGTTTTTGATTGCTGGAAAGATAATAGAAGTTGAAGACTGGGAGATTTTTCGCAAATTAGGTCTTTATATGGCCACTGTATTGAGTGGGTACGTTATTCTTCTAATTAATAATATTTATTTTCTTTTTAATTTGAATTGATAAATCAGTTTTTTCTATAGTTAGGGGAACTTTCATTGTATTGATCCTCACTGTGTTTCAGATACATTGAAAATATACTGAATTAAGAATACAACATTTTAAAGTCAGTTGTTAACTCTCAGGCAATATATTAAATAAAAAGGTTGCCTCATATATGAAAGATAAGAGAAAGCACTTGAATCTGAGTATTGACATGGCCGGTGAATTATTCTTAGGCTGCATATTCATGGTCTGAAATCCTTATTAGATTCATGTACAATAGAATATTATTAGTTACACAAGTGGGGAAGAAATGCTGGGAGAATAGAGGATTTCCTAATGCATGTTATTTGCAAATACCTACAAATGTGTTTCAAGAAATTTGCTTAAAGAAGAGATGGGAAGGTTGCTTCATTCCTTCTTCTCTGTACCACTTTTCAGTTATCTTCATAGAACACGAAAGACAGCCAGATTGATTTACATGCATTTAATGATGAATTAGTGACTAATTGAAAGTTTTTACTAGTACCTAACAACATTCTGCTGAGCAGGATGCCTTCTGTTATCAAATACAAAAGGGCTAATTTGTGGTTGAGCCTAAACAGCTTTATGGATTCTAGGAAAATCTGCTGCTCTTACCGTTGATAAATTTTGAAACACATCTACGTCTGTTCACTAAGACTCTAATATTAAATATTACAGTAGTTAATGTATGTTTCCTGTTTCAGACTTGCAATCCATTCTGTGGTAATTCTACCACTAATATATTTAATCATAGTGCGGAAAAATCCATACCAGTTTGCCATAGGTATGGCTCAAGCACTATTGACCGCACTCATGATTTCTTCCAGGTAAGGATAACAATTATTTTTCCTATGCTTACATTTAGCTCTGGGGTAATAATATAAATGAACTTACACATGAATTTATTTTAGACTTACATTTTATATTAATTTAGACTTTATCCCATACATGCTGTATTTTTTATTGATGTTAGTTTCATCTTGATTTGACTGTGAAATTACTAATAAATTCGTGCATTGGCTTGTTACTGACCTATTTTTTTCTCCATGTCTATTTTTTTCCCTCTTGATTTGTGGGATTTAGTTCAGCCACTTTACCCGTAACTTTTCGCTGTGCAGAAGAAAAAAATCATGTTGACAAGAGAATTACTCGATTTGTTTTACCAGTTGGAGCAACAATCAACATGGATGGAACTGCACTGTATGAAGCAGTGGCTGCCGTTTTTATTGCACAGCTTAATGACTTAGAGCTAGACATTGGCCAAATAGTAACCATTAGGTAAGGATTATGCTGTATCACATATTTTACTTTTTTTTCATAGTTACCATTGTCTTTTTTTAATCTATAATGAAAATGAATAAGAGTATCTTCATGAATGAATCAGATAATTTTATTGTTGCAAGGTCATCTAGCCTCCTGAGATGAATCTCCTGTAAAATTATGCTTTGTGCAATATACTCATAAGAACAAGACCTCTGGTCACTATTAAATTGTGGCATAACAGTTTTACAGTTTTACTTAACAGTAAAACTCAACTTTGTGCTCAGTGGATTATCTTAGCACTCAAACCCATTAGCTGTATTCATTACTAATTTACACATTATGTTGCTAAATTCACAGTATCACAGTATAATTTAACTGTATTACTGAATTAAGATCATTTTATTTGGACACCATATTGCCTTTGATAATTAATTTCAAATATCCTATGTTATAAATTGCTTGACTTGATAGACAACAGAAATAGAGGCAAGATACAGAAGAGAGGTTTGTAGCTTCATGACAGAGCTAAAAGTTGTTGGTTTTTCAAGCTGGGACATTTTCTCTTCTGAATACCATATTCTATCGAGCAAGTTGGCTCAGCTGGCAGTAGTTAGCAGTGTAGCACATATCTTCAATGTCAAAATATTTCTATGAAAGAGCAATTAAAGAGTCTGATTCCATGTTTGGAGAAGCTAGTAAGAAAAGGATCTCAAGATAGGCAGCTCTAAAAAAATGGAAAATATGGAAATGGAAAAAATGGAAATAATAACACACAATTTGTAAGCCATTCCTTTGAGCAGGTAACACTGTTTATTCCTGCAGCCTCCTAATTTTCAACATTCTTGTATCACTTACAGGTTCCTTTCCACCACCTAGTATTTACAGCATTCATTTTAAGTTAATGTTACCATCCCAGTGCCCCAAAAACATCTCTAAAAACATTCCTTCCACCATTTCCTACTTTAATTTCATCCAATTATTTCATTACTTTTATTTTTTTATTCCATTCATGCTGTTCAGAAGCACCTTGTTTTACCCTTTTCATCCACTTCCCAAATAATTTTTTCCTTTGTTTCAAAATCACTTTGTGTCTCCTCTTGGTTTTGCTAATTGTAGTTGATTACAAAGAAACATGAATCAGTGATGTGGTAACAGCTGTAAAACAAGGCAAATGCAGTTTCAGGCTCCATCAATAGAAATACACTTTCCACATACACTGTACCATTTTATGGTCTGTTGGTCAGACCCCGTCTCAGTTATTGTGTCTTTTTGATTTGGGATGCAGTGTGACAGCAACAGCTGCCAGCATTGGAGCAGCAGGAGTACCACAGGCGGGCCTTGTTACCATGGTGATTGTACTGAGTGCAGTAGGACTGCCAGCTGAAGATGTTACCCTCATTATTGCCGTGGACTGGCTTCTGTAAGTTCCTACACTTCTTATGCATCTATTTACATGAAAAATATCAATGAGCCCATTGCATTGTGTAATCAGTATACTTCTAATGAGTGTTTTCTGCTAGCACCAGTTGTGATATGTTAACATTTAGTTGACACTGTGCTACAGTATTAACAAGTATTGGACTGAGTATTTATTCCAACATTCCAGGATACCCAATAATATTCCTTTTTTTCTTTTGCATGAATTTGATTATTTGCATGCAATAGTAACTAAAATTGATACCATCTGAAATATTACAAACGTGTAATCTCATCTGATGCATTTTTGTTTAGAAGACATATTCTTTCAGCAGGAAGAAAATGACATGATAATTATATACAGAAGGAACGAAATACCAAGCAGTTAATTACTTTAAAAGATTTTCACGTTGTTTCACTTATTACCTTAACTCTATAATCTTTCACCTTCTAAAAAGTAACTCATTGTACAGAGTTCAATATTCCTGAATTTATATTAAGTGCTTAGCATACCTTTGCCGAGTGGAAGCACCTTTTAAAAAGAAAGGCTCTGCCAATCTGCTGAAGTTGTGTCTGGAGAATAGGAAATCAACACTCCAACCACTAAGACATTCATCAGATTTCCTGATTTAATGTTTTTCTTTTCCCAAAGGCCAAAAACCATCTAGTATTATTGCATTTACTAGAACTTGAATTTATAGCAGTGGTGACTGACATTTCCCTTAGGTTAGTCAAAGGTTATGACCAAAGTACTATATAAGAAAGTCAGTGCTTATAAGAAGGCTCTGCTACACGGTTACCCTATTTTATTCACAGAATATGATGAAAATCCCAGAGGATATTGTCTTCTACCTGTAGTCCTCCCAGATGTATTCAGCACTTCATCCATCCTTCTTCTTACCCTCTCTTACCCACTTTTTATGGCTATTCCATATTTTCCCTACCATGTCTTTAGTTCAGTGGTCCTAGGACTTGCCACCTGGAAATCTCCAATATTACATAAGTGATGAAGATGTAGGTATAATGTAACCCTTGAACCCAACATTTTTTGTCATTCTGTTGACTCCAAAGTAGATAGCTCTGCAGAAATGGGGAAGCCAACAGATCTTAGATTGGATGTTGGTCAAGGACATTTGAAATTCTAATGTTGAAAAATGAATCATTGAGCACCACATGAGACTCCTCAAAATGTATTTGATCTCTGCATGTGTAAGAATTCTACATTGACATATTTTGCCAATATTGATAAAGCTGGGGTACAAATCTCATTTATATATAGGTTGAATTTATTGCCACCTATCCTGACTAGCCTAAAATGTTGTTTTCTAGGGATCGATTCAGAACAATGGTTAATGTTCTTGGTGATGCCTTTGGAACTGGAGTTGTGGAGAAACTCTCCAAAATGGAACTAGAACAGATGGACACCATCTCTGAAGTTAACATTGTAAATCCTTTTGCTTTGGAAACAACCGACAGTGAGGATAAAGAGACAAAGAAATCCTATGTGAATGGAGCTTTTGCCGTTGATAAGTCAGACACCATATCTTTCACCCAGACATCACAATTCTGAGGTTGATTGACTAACAGAGGGCCACATTGGATTAAAGGACATGAGAGACCCTAAGTCAATCCATACCTTGGGATCATTACACTATCGATTCCTCATGCTGTTTTTTGTCTTCTGCCTGTATTCCTACAGGCATACAGAGAAAAGAATATATCTTATCTCACAATTCCTGTCTCCCTCAGCCATTCAGAAACAGAGAAGGCAGCCATTCTGTTCCTCCTGTTGTACAGGCTGCCCATATAAATATTTCCCCACAACTGGGAACATGGGCTCTTTCTTCCCAGTCAATTGATGAGTGGCAGTCATCCATGTTCAGAGCTGTGGAGATTTCTTCAGGAGGCCCAATACAGAAATATAAGTATATTCTTGAGCCTAGTTATGTTGTCAGAAAAAAATGTTCCATCATAGTTGAGAATGAAGGCTAGCGCTCTTAAGATTCCTCAGCAGCACCTATCTAAGATTCTGAATTGAAATCTTTTAGCGAGATTCAGAGGATAAATACATTCCTTTGGGACAGATTGTCTTCGGCATGTAGTTATCGCAACATTTGGTCATTGTATGCAGATATATGAAAAAACCAGGTTATAAAAAATATGTTTCTTTTTAAAAGCTATGTCGAATTTCTAGGGATCCTAGATGTCTGCTTACTATGACCATCACCAGAAGTTGGCGCAATGAGCTGAAGACAAGCTGTTTATGAGGAATACTAAAACAGTATTTCCAGTTGCACAGAATTCCATGCATAGAATTATTTTTTAAAATGATATCCTCACTGTTCTTATATTTCAATTGCTATTGAGACATTTCTCTTTAAATTGATTCTGTGCAAAAATAACTACTCCTATAGCTAATTAACTATTAAATAGAAAAATCAGAAGGATAGTTCTGGATTAAGTGTGAAGTTTTTGAAAATATATGTGTGTTTTTAAACATTGTTGAAATTGGAAATTATTACTTGATAACTTTATATTTTCATTTCCATTACTAATTATAGCTATGACATAGTGGAACTTCTTGATTAATCCAATCACAACAGCTTTGCAGCAAACTACAGTAAACCCTAATAATATAGTTTTCCTCATTTAGTAATCTTCTTTTGGAAGCTGTATAACACAATTTTAGAGCTCTCTGTTTGATAGAGGAAATAAAAGAATGCATTTCATGGGTATACAAGCAAACTATAATTTCATATCTTTCCTCCAGTCTCCTGTCCATTCCAATCCCAATTCCTTGTGTGTCATTGCAAATGCTATTCCATTGAGGGAGCGGGTATAATTGAATACAACCCTAACTTCATAGCTATTCACTGAATGGTTTAGAGAAAGTGTATGTTTTAAAGTATTGCATTTACTGTATGTGATTCACTGCATGTTGTTTGTTTGCTTCTTTGTTTAATCTTATAACTGAACCTGAAAGCTTGCAGTATCAAAATACAGGCCTCGTGACCGAGAAGCAGGCTTATGGTGAATTATATACCAGTTTGTCTACCAGCATATAGACCTTGACTGGTGAAAGATAAATAGCAATCGTTTATGAAAGTTCATAGTGTAGAGTAATGGAGATATATTCTCATATGGACCATTTGAGTGTGATTTCTTTATGAAAACATTCCGTACTGTTAAATAGTTCATCTAGTTAGTGCTTAACACCAATACACTTACCTATGGTGCAGTTTTATTTTCCCTTGAAAAACATTATTGCAGAAGATAAACTTTTCTTTGGACATTGCCAGTTAGCTACGTAACACAAACAGAAATTCATAGAAGATAATGATTTTGTAAATAAGCTTGTGCTAATCTGAGAAAAATGCACTTAATTACTATCAATAAACAACAAATCTGTAGCCTTAGACAGTCTTACACTGTTCTGTTCAATAAATAATCCAGGTATGTGCCAAAGAACACTCAAAAGTAACTATTCAAATAATCATGTTTTGATAAATTGCACCTTAATTGTGTGAAAGGCATAATACTGTACTGTATGTATTTAAATATAATAAGCTATAAATGAAATGCGCAAAGTGCAAACACTGATCCGTTTGTACAAATAAAGAAGTGTACAGTGTAAATCTTGCGCAAAATTATTTTTTAAAAAAACATTTGTACATCTTTGCTATTGCTAGAAGGAAAATGTTCTTAATAGTATTTCGCCTTTTCCTTGCACCCTCCAATACTATACATGTCCCCTTTCTTTGATTTCAATAAATAGTTCTGGTCATCCAGCATATCCTTGTTCTATGTCTGTATGTAGACTTATGTATCAGCACTGGGAGTTTCTGTTCATCTGCTTAGTGAGAAAGGCAGGGTAGAAGGAAAATGCAGCTCTTCCTGTTGGCTGCCCATACCATATTTCCTCACAACTGGCAACATGGGCTTTCTTCCCAGTCAGTTATGAGAGGCAGCCAGCATGTTCAGAGCTGTGCAGATTTCTTGTGACATAGTTTTGCCACAAAAGCCCTATTAGGAGCTATTCCCAAATAAGTGGCTCCTGGCAACTCCTATGTTAATAGGTTTCAGCATTTGCTTATAAGTAACAAAAGTTTTACAATTAAGCCAGCTGGGTTTACTTATATCCTATCTTTATTACTTTTTATAATGGCGACAAACTTATTTAATATTCCATCCTCCTCCTATTTTCTCCAAAACAAGAACCCTATGAGGTGGATTCGGCTGAGACAAAGTTGACTGGCCCAAAGTCACCAAGCCAGCTTTCATGCCTGAGGCCCTAACCTGGTGCCTTAACCACTACACCAAGCTGGCTTTATAATAATACAACAAACAAACACGCATTTGGCAGATATTTTTACCTAAAGAAACAGTGGTGAATTAGACCTGAAACTCCTAAAGAACCTTGAAGATAACTGCTTCGATACTTGGGATGACTGAAGCAATCAACCTATAACAAACTATCCGAAACAATGGAACCAATTGTGTACACATCCTAAGCCATGATCAATACATAGTTTCCTTCTTTTTATAATGGAGATCCTGAAGCAATAAATCACAAATATTGGCTGTCCTAGAGAAGTGCATTATGTGTCCAGTCGAAGGGCTTCATCATTTCTTTCAGCTACCCCTTGGGAATACACTGATCCACCTTGTAGAGCAGGATTGCTACCAATATCAATCCTGTTCTACAAGGTGGATTAATAGATAGATAGAAAATAGATAGATGATAGATAGATAGCAATATATATGAATGTACAACCTGATGCACAAACATAAACCCACAAATGATCATTAGAAAATTTCTTGTAGCTCTTTCAAATGGAAAAACTTTCAAATCACTGATAAACGTACTGTATAAGTCATTGATCAGGATTAACCTTGTGGGATTGAGCCCTGAATCATCAGATGAAAAAACACAGGCCTACATGTGCAAAAATTAATCATTGGAGTTTCTGTATATTACCTGAGCATTTCAAGTTCCTTTCAAATATGGTATTCCTAGGACATCTTCAGACATGGAATAAGAGCTGCAAGGGATTTCCTATTGGGAGAATATCAGTGTTGTCTTATATACAAACAGTATGTATCAATACTAAATTCTAAATATTAAAAATATGTTTAAAATACTTTGTGTATGCAGCCTAATTTCTTTATAATATTAACTAATTTTATTTATTTAAATCAGTTGTAGTCAGAAATGTCATCAAGATGCACGAAGGTGGCTTTCTCAGAGTGAATTGTTCATGTTTCAACAATTATACCCTCCCTTGTCAAAAATGTTGAGCAATAAATAAGTTATCTGTTATGTTCCATACTTTGGATGAATTCAGGCATTTCTAGGCAGGTTCTATATCTTCATTATTTTTCTGCCCGAAAGTTATGAGTTGAGAGGCCTTGCTGAGTAGGCTTTGCTGTTAGAGAAGCACTCTGCAGTAGAGCAGATTTACAAGGGCCTCCAACCTTAGCAACTTTAAGACTTGCAGACTTCAACTCCCAGAATTCCTCAGCCAGCAAAGCTGGCTGAGGAACTCTGGGAGTTGAAGTCCGCAAGTCTTAAAGTTGCTAAGGTTGGAGACCCATGGAGCAGAAGACCTTTTTGGAGCAGACTGCTTCGGGTTGATTCTCAGAGTACCACCCTTCTCCCTGCTTCATAGGCTACTCCTTCCAATAGGATCACCTAGGGGAAAAGTGACAGAATCTGGAGGTAAAATTTTAAAAAAGGATCAGCCTAGAATCTCTACATAGCTACAAACAAGCTAATTCCACCCCCTCCCATCTCCCCGGAATTCAGTCAACCCTTATCTAACCCCTTTTCAGCAGTTGCAGACTGCCAGAGGAGGGAGAAGGGATGGTTCCATGTGTGCCCACCACTTCCGTGGCCCGGTTCCAAAAGACTCAAGGCCTGTTAGTGAGCCGTGGTCCAGGGGTTAGGGGACCCATCCCCTAGCAGGTGCTAACCATTAGTTAAGATTTCTGTGCGTAGGCACGAGTAGCAATACATCAGTTTAATTGGACTATCATGTGTGGACCTGACCTTTTCTGCCTGACAGATCTGCCCCCCCCATGAAATAATGTTTTAATAGCAATAGTTCCAGTAACAATAGCATCATAGAAGGAGGCAGGAAACTGACTCTGGGATGTAAATCAGCATCTCCACACTAAATCGTGTTCTTCATTTAGTCATCTGACTGCACACCCAGCTGCTTCACCAATATGCTCATGAAGAATTCAGATTTCTCCAGGTGACATTTTCAGGTCAAGGAGTCAGGCAGATTTCTAGGGGTAGAAGTGACCAGCAAAATCATGAATGCATCTCTTTACATTAGGTCAAACCACATTCTTTTGACTGTCTTATACACCTACTGCAGTTAGGTGGCTTAAGCTTCTAGTGTTCCTCCATGTATCATGGTTGGATTTTTGAAACAAATTATCTTTATTTGTAGTACTAACAGATTCTGGGAAATGAAGCAGATGCAGAGGAGGAATGGATAGGATTCTCATGTATTTTTATTTATGATTTTTATTGACTGTTTCCTAGTATGATTTGATTGCTTATTGTACCCTATGACTATCATTAAGTGTTGTACCTTATGATTCTTGACTCTTGATGAATATATTTTTTCTTTTATGTACACTGAGAGCATATGCACCAAGACAAACTCCTTGTGGGTCCAATCACACTT